AGGGAACCCCATCGTCGAAATGGCCGTTTGGCCCCGCTCCTCCGTCGTCGAAGTTCAACGAGTAGCTCAACGGATCGTACCGGTATGTCCCGTGATCGGGTCGGGCCGAGATTCCTCCGCCACAACAGCTGCGGTGGCGGCCGAGGCGGCGGATGAATGTCTTCCACTTGGGCCCGGCGACGAGCTCCGACCATTCCCGGAGCTTCCGCCATCCGCGGATCCACCAGCGCTCGTCGGCCTCGCGTTTATCGGCGGTCCTGATCCGCTGCCACCAGACGGATCCGGCGTCGGATGGCTGAGATGAGCCCAGGCACGGCAATATGAAACAGCATCCCCTCTTCGTCAACATTGCCTCGTGCATATCGTCGGCGGCGTCGTTTTCTGCGATGGGAAATGCTTGGGGTTGCCTCATTTTTTCGGGGAGATCTCGTCGTGATTCAACAAACAATGGATTCGCGTAGAGAGAGGGAGGAAGTAAAGAGGAGATTTCCGATCTCTATGGAACCTGGGATGTTCCTTCCTCCGCTTGTCTGCAAACCCTAACCCTAATTCTCTCTATCTCACTCTCGCAAAGAGATTTGGGTTGGGGCCGAGAGGGAACAACGCGTTTCTTGAGGATGCGAAGGGGATGGAATAAATGGTGGCAACAATTTAAAAGCTAACCGGAAAATACCGGTTATCGTTAATCCGAATTACCCTATTTTACAAAATCCTGTTTGAACTGGTTATGACTAAAATATCCCATGTAATTAAACTAATCCTGGGCCGTAGATTTCCTTGATCTATGACTAAAATAGAGCAGCTTCCTTTTACATTAAAAAAAAAAAACTAATCAAAGTCATCAGAGAAATTTCTGATGTTGGACCATTCCCATTGTGACAGAAAAGGTAAATATCTTAGCTTATGAATTTATTTTTCTTGTAACTTATTTGCCTCATAAACATTTGGACCCTTTCATATCCTAATCAAAGAAGCAAACTTTTTTTAAAAAAAAAAAAAAAAAAAAGAGATATCGTCTAAACACCTCGACGTTGCAAGGTTTTAGAGGGAAACACCGTGTCGTCGTAGAGGGCTAGGAAAGACCGTTGCATTGGGATGTTAGTTTCCGTAAATACCCTCCTCTTATCGTATTTTGTGAATGCTGCCCTCCCTATTTCCATGCCCCTTCTCTCAGTTTTCCCGCGAAAAATCCTCCCTTTCTTCCATCATCATACCCCCTCCCCAAAAAAGAATTCATCTCTCTCTCTATCTGCTGTGTCACTGCGGAATCCGATTGACACCGGAATCCGACATGGAAGATGAATAAGATCCGGTCACTCCGCTTGCTCCTCCCGGAGATCATCACCTCCGCCGCGAATCGGTTATCCTCCGACGCCGGAGACGGGAGCCCCATCAGCCTCCTCCTATGGCGGCGTCAGATCCTCGACCCCGACAGCACCATCGTCACCTACTGGAACCACGTCTTCCTCGTCTCCTCCATCCTCGCCCTCTTCATCGACCCTCTCTACTTCTACGTCCCTTACGTCGGCGGGCCTGCTTGCATCGCCGCCAACACGGGCTTCGCCGTCCTCGTTACCTTCTTCCGCACCGTGGCGGATCTCTTCCACCTCCTCCACATCCTCATGAAGTTCCGTACGGCCTTCGTCGCCCCCAGTTCTAGGGTTTTCGGCCGCGGCGAGCTCGTCATGGACTCCCACGAGATCGCCATGAGGTACATGAAGACCGATTTCGTCATCGATGTCGCCGCCATGCTTCCCCTTCCCCAGGTCCCTCTCTCTCCAATTTCAATTCTGGAATTCTGTGTCAAAGATGTGTGCTCTTTAATGGATACGGAACCTGTAGATTTTTCTATTCTGTGTCCCTGCAATGGAAGCAAGAGGTTTTATATCGTTGGACTCTGTGAGATGTACACAAAAGCTGTCGGTTTTGATCTGAGAGAATGGCCATGGCTAGATACAGAACAGATGTTTCCAGAGATCAAAGGTTTCTGAAACTACAATTGTTTGATTTCAGATTGTAATCTGGTTAGTGATTCCTGCGGCGACAAATGCGAGTGCTAATCACGCAAATAGCACGCTTGCCCTTATCGTCCTCGTCCAATACATTCCAAGGCTATTCATAATCTTCCCTCTGAACCAGCGGATCATCAAGACAACAGGTTTCATAGCCAAGACCGCCTGGGCCGGAGCTGCTTACAACCTCCTCCTCTACATTCTTGCTAGCCATGTAAGCCCATTTCCCCTGTACTTGTCAAGATTTTCTTCTTCGGGATTCTTGATATGGGTGTGACTTGGGAGGGGGACAGGTTTTGGGAGCAATGTGGTATCTGCTGTCCATTGGGAGACAATTCTCGTGCTGGTCTCAAGTATGCAAGAAAGAGAACGCCCTCCGAGTTTTGGATTGTCTCCCGAGCTTCTTGAACTGCAAGAGTCTGGATCTACCAGAACGGCAGTATTGGCAGAACGTAACTCAGGTCCTTTCCCATTGCGATGCTACGAGCAGCACTACCACTTTCAAGTTCGGGATGTTTGCCGAAGCCTTTACCAGCGAGGTTGCGTCCGAAACTTTCACGGCAAAGTACTTGTACTGCCTTTGGTGGGGTATAAGGAATCTTAGGTATTGTTCTCGCCTCAGGCCAATTCCTCCTCATCACCATGTCAGTTTATCTTCTCTGTCTGGAGATACATTATGTTTTGGTAATAATTCTGGTTTTTTTTTTGTTCTTTCCCCACGGCAGCTCCTATGGTCAGAATATAAGCACAAGTATTTATATTGGCGAGACCCTGTTCTGCATTACAATCTGTATTTTCGGGTTGATCCTTTTCTCCCTCCTGATCGGGAACATGCAGGTATTTCATCACTTTTTTTACTCTTTGGTCCATTGGGGAACTACCAGTTTCAGACCAAGAAGCAAGAAGATAACCGGATTTGAGAACTGAAACTGAACACTTGCTTTTCCTTGGTGGATCAATGATTCTGAGTTTCTTTTTTCCGTTTTCCTTGCGGGGAAAGACATCGCTGCAATCGATGTCAGTAAGAGTTGAAGAATGGAGAGTAAAGAGAAGAGATACGGAAGAGTGGATGAGGCATCGTCAACTACCACCAGATCTCCAAGAACGTGTCCGTAGATTCGTTCAGTACAAATGGCTTGCAACCAGAGGGGTCGATGAAGAATCAATCCTCCAGTCCTTACCCACTGATCTCCGCCGTGAAATCCAACGCCATCTCTGTCTAGCCCTCGTCCGGCGTGTAATCCTCTCTCCCTACTAACTTATCTCCCACTTAACTTTTTGAATAAAAAACAGGACAATCCAATACAAGTCGTTCTTTTGACACAGGTTCCATTTTTCTCGCAAATGGATGATCAGCTTCTTGACGCCATTTGTGGATGCCTAGTTTCGTCTCTAAGCACTGCTGGAACTTACATCTTTCGAGAAGGCGACCCAGTTAACGAGATGTTGTTCATCATCAGAGGACAACTAGAAAGCTCCACCACAAATGGAGGAAGATCTGGTTTCTTCAATTCTATCACTCTGAGACCTGGAGATTTCTGCGGTGAAGAACTTCTTACATGGGCCTTAATGCCAAACTCTACCCTCAACCTTCCTTCTTCAACTCGAACTGTCCGTGCCCTCTCTGAAGTTGAAGCCTTTGCCTTGAGCGCCGAGGACCTAAAATTCGTTGCTCATCAGTTCAAACGGCTTCAAAGCAAAAAGCTACAACACGCATTCAGGTACCAAACCCATGACAAGACATGACAGCCTCTCCCTTCTTGTTTTGTTTTTGTTATGGGCATTCTGGTGCCAATCTTTGAGATAAAAAAACAGGATTGAACCCAAGTGATCTTATGATAATCTGTTTTCAGGTACTACTCACACCAGTGGAGAACATGGGGTGCATGTTTTATACAATCCGCATGGAGGAGATACAGAAGAAGAAAACTGGCGAAAGAGCTCAGCCTGCACGAGAATGAGGCATACTATTACACAGGAGAAGACGGGTACCGTGAAAACGAAGAAGAAGAGACGGGTGAATACTACTACGGGAGTGGAAGCGATGATGGCGGAGAGAGATTATCGAGGGACAGTGGGCACAACAATCAGAACCTGGGAGCCACCATCTTGGCCTCGAAATTCGCGGCAAACACGAAAAGAGGGACCAATCAGAAGGTCTCTGGCAGTAGTAGTAGTGGTACTTCTGGCAAAGATAGTTCTTCTAGCAGTTTGAAGATGCCTCAGCTGTTCAAACCAGACGAGCCTGATTTCTCCTTAGACAAAGAAGAGGTTTAGCCTTAGAGTCTTTTTAACTCCTTTTAGTTAGAAACCACTTTAGATAGATTTGCATTACGTGAATACCATGTTCCTGTTCTTCTTCTTTCTCCTTTTGTTTTTTTATTCTTGTGGGTATCAAAGTATATAGCAGAGGATGTAGGAAGACGACAGCTACATTGTATTGTTTCAAAATTATCAATGTTGTTGTGTTATACTTTTGCTCAAGTGTGAATCTTTGTCTGTGGTTTGCATACAAGTACGGTCATTCCAATTTACACGGATGGATCCATAGCGACAATGCGTGGCGTTTATACCTCACTGAGACAATGCGTGGCGTTTATACCTCACTGAGACGGAACGTAGTTTACTTGAGGGGAACCTGAATGTCACGTAGTTCACTAGAACGCCAACAAAATGAATAAAACACCCTCGTTCCGGATAAACTCCTTTTTTGGTGGCCATGTTTTCCTCCTCAACGGATAAAATTGAAATAAGAACAGAAGTGAGAACTTCTCTACTGCAATGGCTCACCTCACAGACCTTAAGAGTCTCACGAAATCCCTACCGGCGATCCCCAAGCTACCTCTGGAGCGGAAAACCGGAAAACCGGTCGCTTTTGTGAGCAGGAAAACCGGAGAATCTCAAGAACCGGATTCGGTACAAACGACAAGAAGAAAGGCGTTAGGGTTCGCAGTCTCTGTAACTGTCACCGGAATATGCACCGGTGGAAAGAACGTCTCTCGTGCCGAAGACAATGGGTTTTGGATCGATGGTCCTCTTCCCGTTCCTCCTGTATACAACAGTAAGCTGACATTTCCTACCGCAATTTCGCGTGTCTACGATGATTTTCCGACATTTCATCTGCATGTTTTTAAGTTCTTGATTAAGTTTTCGGTTGCACCGAATTCAAACCTTAGTTCGGAAAGTGAAAAGATAGAAACTTTGGAGCCGAACAGCTAAGCCCAATTGCGAATTCAATTTGGTAGAATCCAAAACCGGATTGGTTATGCCCGGTTTATGATTCCGAACCACCCATCTCTTCACTCTTGCTATGGAGCAAAAAGATGAAAGCTTTCTTTCCCCCCCCCCCCCCCCCC